TTGGATGATCCTCTTCTTATGCCTCCCAGGGTTCTGACAACCCCACCTTCCCAACCTCCGTTGGCACCACCTACTCAGCACCACCTACCCAGCACCTATCTCCACCCCATTCTCCGGCCTCTCCAGCTGTTCCCCATTTCCCCCAGACCCCTCCTTCTGCTCCCCATCCTTCCCCAATCCTTCCTTCTGCTCCCTATTCTCCCTTGACCCCCCCCTGCATTTCCCTATTCTCCCCTACCCCTCCCTGTTTCCCATGCCCCCACCTCCTTGCCCATCCCCCCTTTCCCTTGGTTCTCCTTCCCTTTTCCTCTGGCTCCTGCATTTCCCCCCAAGCCCCTGCTCTAGAGGCTGCTCCTACTCAGGCCTTGAGCAAGGGTCTGCCCCAGCCTCTACTTCCAAAGAGACCCCAGCTCAAGCTCCGGACGAGGTTCTCAACTCAATGCCTCCTCCCCAGACCTCTACTTCGGACGGGACCCCTCCTCAGGCTCCAGACAAGGGTATCGCAGTGCCGTCTTCTCCCCTGATCCCTCCCCCTCCTCCGGTGTCAGGTAATCTTCCCCCTTGTCAGCCGGATTCCTCGGCCTTGCCAGTTCAGCCAGCACTTTCCAGTCCCTCACTCACGAGAAGTGGGACTTCCTATCTCCCTCCCTCGCAAGCCCCTGCTCCTGCAGGGACTTCAGGGCTTTTTCCTTTAAGGGAAGTACCTGCCTCTCCTAACGGGACACTTAGGGTGCATGTTCCATTCTCCATTTCAGAACTCACCCAGATTAAGGAAAGGCTGGGTCAGTACTCTGAAGATCCCACTAAATTTACTGAGGGCTTCAGGGATGTGTCCCTACAATTCGAACTTTCTTGGGGTGATTTGCATGTCCTCTTCTCCACCTGTTGTACCCCTGAGGAGAGGGAGAGAATCTGGGAACAAGTCCAAAATTTTGGGGATCGTTTTGCTAGTAATGACCCCGCAAAAATACCCCCAGGAACAGCTGCTGTTCCTGCTAGTGATCCTGGGTGGGATTATCAGAAGAGTGAGGATAGGGGAAAGAGGTACTACATGGTAATTTGCCTGTTAGAAGGCCTGAAAACAGCATTTCAAAAGCAAGTAAACTTTCAAAAGATTAAAGGAATTACTCAGGAAGAAAAGGAAAATCCTGCCCTTTTCCAAGATAGGCTAGTAGAAGGCATTAAAAAGTATACGAATTTAGATCCTTACTCTACAGAAGGGGCAGCAATCCTTAGCATGTATTTCATTAACCAATCTGCCCCAGATATTAGGAGAAAATTACAGAAATTGGCAATGGGACCCCAAACACCTCAGTCCCAGTTATTGGAGATTGCCTTTGGAGTATTTAACAACAGAGACTTAGCTGCAGCGGAGGAGAAAGAACACAGGCAGAGGGCTAGAGACAAAGAACATGCCCTATTCCTGGCTGCTGCCATGGTTAGGAAAAGACCCAAGGGTGTTCCTGGCAACCTGGGCAGTGGGAAAACCTGCTTTCGATGCCACCATGAGGGTCACTGGTCCAAGGAGTGCCCCTCCAAGGCACCGCCTTGGAGGAAGCCCAGCCACTTGGGTAGGGGAGGCCACAGGGAGGCTCACTGGTCCAAGGAGTGCCCCTCCAGGGCGCCCCCTTGGAGGAAGCCCCCAAGACAGACACCTCCAGGACCTTGCCCAAGATGTGACCAGGAGGGACATTGGAAGAAGGATTGTCCCCGAGGTAGGAGAAGTGGTAGAGCAGCCCCCCAGTACCCTGTCCTCCAGTCTTCTCAAGACTGAGGAGGACAAGGGAGCCTGGGTGTGGGCCACACTCCCACTTTCTCCATCTCTTTCGCCAAGCCCTGGGCAGAAATCGAAGCTGAAGGTAAGGTTACCCACTTTTTCATGGCTATGTTCTTTCTTTTAACCAATTGCTCTGGCCCTATTCGCTCCTTGACCCATCCGGTCATGGGCATTCCAGAGGTAACTGAGGGATGTCTCCAGACATATCCCTCCCCCTGCCTATTTGAGAATCTGTTGTGTAAACACTCCTCCCTTATGCTCTCCTCTTGCCCTGCCCCCTCGTTGGGAAGGGAAAATACTTTAGGGTCTTGGAGGTGAACAACAGCAGGGGTGGCAAAAGTATCCCAAATTGTCTCCCACACTTCCAGGGGAACATGGGGAGGTCTGGCACACAGAGTGAAAAGGGAGATGGGAGCCTTAACTAGAGAAAATTGGCTCCCCAACTTCACCGTTAGGTCCCACCCAAGAGGCTTCTTTGTCCAATGCCTCAGGAGTGCTTAATTTCTTGGGAACTCAAGGCTATAGGGTCTCTTTGAACAAAGTCCAGATAGCATGCCAGTCTGTAAAGTTTCTGGGCCACCAATTCCCTGTCCCAGCCACTAAGAAACAATTTCGAACTTTTCTAGACATGGATAGATTCTGTAGACTCTGGATCTCTGATAAAAGTTTGATTGTTAAGCCCCTTTATGACTGTCCTCTGGGCCCTGACTCACTCCCTCAAGAGTGTGGCCCAGACCAGACTAAACCTTTTGTGATTTTAAAATCTAAATTGACCTCCACACCCCTAAATCAGTTCTTAGCAGCTGCTGGAAAGCCTGCAAGCTTCCTGGCAGTGGCTGCCACAGTCATTCTAATTGAGGAAGCCTCTAAATTTGCATCTGGCCTCCAAAAGTGGGGAAATAGTTCTTTAGTTAAATTGGGAAGCTCTTTAGAACACTCCCACCCACACCCACATAGTAACTCTCATCTCCACAAAGCCCCCCTCCCCAATACGAATTTCTCAGAAGTTTATGCCACTCTGTTTATGCTTGCCACTTCTCTATGGGCTACTCTCTCTGTATCCACACCTTGCTTCTCCACAGGGGAATATTCCCTTACTTGGGAGACAAGCTCCAAGGCCACTAGACAAGTTAACACCCCTGTGGAGGGAGGGCTTGTTAGAGTTTCTGCTAATATTTTGACCTGCACTACCTGTGCAGACAACACTAGTGACAAGAATTTTGGGGAAAAGGCGAAACAAAGTGCCAACACATGGCAAGACCCCAGAACTACTGTTTTGGTCACTCAGTGTTTGACACGCTGCAAAGACTTTGGGGTGTGCACCCTCAGACTTTTAGCACTCCCCTTCTCCATTTTCAATGCCAAACAGCCCACAATCTCTAACTTAAGGGTAAAACATGGATTTTGGGGAAATGTCCTCTGGTCTCTTAAAAAGGGAGCACACTATCTTATGTCCCGGTATAACCTACAACATGAACGTATTCTCTCTAACCTTACAGAAACTATTCACCAGTTGGCAAATGTGACAACTTATGGTCTCTGGGAAATCCAGCAATCTTTGGATTCCTTAGCAAAAGTAGTTCTAGATAACAGAATAGCCCTAGACTACTTGCTTGCCTCCAGTGGGAGTGTATGTGCTTTAGCAAATACATTTTGTTGCACGTATAACAACTTTGGGCAGATAGAGTTCTGCACTGCTCATATTTTGGAAAAGGCTAGTTGGATGCAAGAAATTCACAATAACTTTAGTGCTCCAAAGTCTTCCTCATGGGAGTCCTGGCTTCTTCCTATACTGGCCCCTATTCTCATTCCACTACTGATCATACTTCTCTTGTGTTTGTTTGGTCCATGTTTACCAAATATTCTTGCCAGATTCCTTTCTTCTAGGGTTGGAGCCATCAACTTCCAGATGACTGTATACCAACCCAAGGTCTCTAGTGCACTGAACCTGGCATCAGCCTGGTTTTGAAGTTTGACCCCTCGAACGGGACCCAGAGAGGCAGGGACAGCTCTACGCCCCTTGCCAGCAGGAAGCAGTTTCAGAAGCAGAGATGTTCGCCCCTTTCACCAAAAGAATTTGGGTCAATTTGTTTGAAGGGGGAAATGATGGGGGCAGGGCCCAAGCCAAGATCTTCGCCCTTTGCCCCAAAGGGAATCTGACTCACAGGCCCCAGACCCTCATCTCCCCTTGAAAGCCTTAGGCTCCCTTTTGTCTATAGGCCCCAGAAAGGCCTTCCTTCATCTTCTTTTGAAAGTCCTAGCCCCACCTTGATTTTGTACAGATGCCTTCCAGACTTCTGCCTTCCTGTTCCCTCCATTAGCTATTCCCATTGTCTATTCAATCTCTCTGACCTCCCCAATTAGAATTCTTACCTAGACCCTTTTCCCAACCCCCTTCTCTGGCCACCCAAAGTTACTTTAGTATTTAAGATCCACCTTGGCCCTCATTCAGATGCTGAGAATCTCAGGCCCACAAGCTGAGAACCTCTCATGCCCGCTCATCATTATGGGCATCACCCGGCTGAGAATCTCACACTCAAAAGGCTGAGAACTTCTCATGCCCGCTCGTCTTGATGGGTGTCACCTGGTCAATGTGATTTATCACTAATAAACTTTTCCTCTGGCTGAAGAAGATTTGAGTTGAATTCATTTAGCAGGGCCCGGTACCGTGATCTTGGGGTCCCAGCACCCCAAAGGTCCTGGACCTCTTCACAGGGATTTTGTAATTTTCAAAGCACTCAAGCACTAAACTAGCGTATCTGGTCAGCTGGAAGAAGTAAGGGCAGGTCTTTGCTCCTTGTTCAAACTCTGGCTACATATAGAGCTATTTATATACACATTTCTCCTTCCCCCCCCCCATTTGAATGTAAGACCCTTGAGGACATTAACTGCTTTGTTTTTTCTTTATACCACTAGCACTTAGCAGACTATTTGGCACATTACAAAAAAGCCAGAAATGACCTCAGATTTAGTCCACCTTGCCCCATTTTGTGGGTGAGCAAACTAAAGCAGCAGTGTCAGAGAATCCCTGCAGGACATATATTGACTTAGAAACCCACAGATTAACATTAACATGCAGTATGTTGTATTGCATTTTTATTTAAACATTTCCCATTTTTAATCTGCTTCCAGCTACCAACCCCCAGTTAGAATTTGACACCTCTGAACTAAGACACAGAAAAGTTAAGCAATTTATTCTAGGCCACATACGTAGGTAGTCCATAGCAAAGGTCAGATCCTCTGATTGTGAAACCTAGGTTCTTTCCTCTGGACAACTTTTTCTACTTCACAAAGCAAGTGACCCCTGAGCTGAGCCTTAAAGGAAGATATGGATTCCGCCAGGTAGAAATGAGGATTGGATGCTCTCTATGTATGAGGGAAGGCTGGTATGAATGCAATGGGTTAGAAAGTGGAATGTCTAGGTGGACAATTTGTTAGTAGTCTAGTTTGACTGTAACACACTGGTGCATAAGGGGAAATAAGACCAGAAAGGAAAGTGGGCACCAGATTGTGAAGGGTCTTAAATGCCAAGCTGAGAAGAATTTATTTACCCTTAGGAACAATAGGGAATTGTTAAAGGTTTTTGAGCAGGGAAATGACATGGAATGGTGAGGTGAGAGATTGGAAACTGGCAAACTATTTAAAAGGCGATGGCAATGGTCCAGATGAGAAGGGGAGAAGGAACTGAAGTGGACCCAATAACTGGAAATGAGGGGATGAGTGAGAGACTTTATGGAGGTAGAATCCAAATGGCTTACAACTGGTTAGATGTGAGGGTGAGGCTGGTAAGGGACAGTGAAGAGTCAAGGTAAACTCTGGTGGTGGTGCTATCCAAAAGAGTCATGGAATTTACCTTGTATACCTGAGTTAGTCTCACCCTCAAGTAGCAGAACTTGTGAAGGTATGGAGCAGCAAGCTAGGACTTCTAAGTCGTGCCCTGGTTTGGGTACTAAAACTAGGGCTGTGTTTGGACTAGAGATATAGTATCAAATGTCCTTCTCCTAAGAAGATGCTGAGAATACAAGCTAACTTCTCAATGAATTTCTTGTTGTTCAGTCGTGTCCGACTTCATGACTCCATGGACCATACCATCCACGAAGTTTGCTTGGCAAAGATAATAGAGTGGTTTGCCATTTCCTTTTCTAGTAGTGTGATGATTAAAAAGTTTTGAGAAACATAGTTTCTGTGTAATTTAATAATTTTATTAATAAGGCCCGCAGGTTATTAATAAAATGATGGTCATTTGGCCATCTCTCTTAGACCAAAGACCCTTAATGGCAGTGGGGTCACAGTTTATATGCCCTTTGAAGAGTAGGCATGGCTGAAGGGTGGAAATGAACTCTGTTTGGTTAACATAATGGGAGGTGTGGGCTATATTAAAATGAAGATCTTGGGGTACCTGACTTATGTCATTCAAATCTTGGTCAAAGAGACATCAATTTCCATATCACCTGTCTGATAATAGGGAGAATCAACTTTTCCCCAGACCTGTCTGAGCAAATACAATGAGCAGAAATACATCCATTAGCCCAAACTTAGAATTTATTTTACGGTTTGATTAGATCTTGGTCTGTGTAAATCTCTAAGAGACATTTCTCACAGTGGTTGGTTTCTGGATGAGGAAGTACAAAAGGGGAAAAACTTGGTCCTAATACAATAATTAGTTATTAAAAATAAGAGAAATGTTCATTTCTCACATTAGATTAAGACAAACAGAAATTAAGTAAGTGACTTGCCTGGGGTCACACAGCTAGTAAGTGTCTGAGGGCAGATTTGAAATCAGACCTTGACTCCCAGCACTCTATCCACTGAGACACCTAGCTGCCTCCTCAAAGCACTTGTATAGACTATATTATTTATTTTGATGCTTAAACATTGCTGGGTCTCTAATCATTTAGTGTGAAGCAGCATGGTACCATGGAAATGGTAGACTTCTTCGAGAAAGAGAACCTGGATTTGAATCTTGGTTCTGCCCCTTGGAACCTGTATGACCTTGGGCCAGTCACAATCTCTCTAAGCCTCAAAGTCTTCATCTGTAAAATCAGGGGGAAAGTTGTAATTAGATGGCCTCTACAATCCCTTCCAGCTCTCAGCCTGTGATTCTATTGTCTATATTTCTATAACCTTTCTCTCCAACTAAGCAAGCTTTTTGAAAGCCAGGACCATATCTTTTGTGTGACTTTTATGTTCTCTGTCATCTTCACAGTGCAGAATCCAGGACTGGCCACATTGTAAATATTTCAAATTGAGGTGAATGTTCTTCCATTTCTCTAGAACTCCAACAGTGCACTGACTCCCAATTCATTCATTAATTTAATACGATAATTTTGTAGTAAATGTTTGTGGTAGATTTAAAAAAGAATAAGACATAGCCCATTTACTTATTTTTTCTTGATTAATTGGGTTTTTAATTGCTTAGATTTTAAAAAGTGATGGAGAAAATGTTAATGATACAGGTTAAAGTTAAAAGTATATTGTGAGAACATTTATTTGTTTTTGTTGAGCATAGCCAATTTTCAAAAAGAATTTATAATCTAGTTGAAGAGACAAAGTATATACAATCCAAACAATCATATAAAATCTATAGTCTCTGTTTCCTTATCTGTAAAAGGAGAGAATTGGACTAAATGACCTCTAAGTTTCCTTCCAGCTCTAAATTGACCATCCTATAATCACTGATTTCCCTTTGACCTCAAAATTCTATGGTTTTGATTTTTAAAATGAATGGATTAGGTAACCACACCACAGCAAACTAGATTATCCATTCAGAGACCACTGGCTGACTATCTTTCCCATTCCTTTTTATTCTTCAGGCCTCACAGCACCTACACAGTAGGCTAGAATGACCAGCATTCAATAGGTCAAATCCATAGGTTGGCTTAAAGCTGAATAAAGGATAGAGATCATGGCCAGGGTATGGAGTTTATAGGTAGAAGGCATAACTTCTCAGCTTTCTTTGAGACTCTGCTCACACTACCCCTTCTGCATATAGTCCTCACCTCTAGTGTCTTCTCTCTGAGATTACTTTCCATTTACATTGCTGTATCTTGTATGTACAATTTTTGTTTTTTGGATGTAAGCTCCATGAGAACAGAACCTTGCTTTTGCTCTTCTTTGTATCCCCAGCACTTAGCACAGTTTCTGTCACATGTCAAGAGCTTGTTAATAAGTGCTTGTTGACTGACTGACATGTAGGTACTAGGAATGCTAAAAGCAAAGCAAAGTTGCAGTTGGAGTGTGCTCCCAACTGGAAGGCAAAGGGAAGCTGCAGGGTTCACATCGGTGGGCCAGGTTTGGCATTCAAAGGGTCAAGTCAGGCAAGGGCATAGGCAGAAGTGTCAGGAGACAATGTCTAGAGGTCCAAGATGGGCAGGAAGGCACAGGCAGTAGAGTTTGAACATGTGGCTGAGGTTTGAAGTTTCTATACCCCAGATCTGGCCCTGTCTCTCCCCAACCCACAACTTCAACATCTCTCTATTGACCCTAGGCTAAGATGGTCCACATCCTGGTTCTTACCTATTATTTCAGGCTTATTTGGTGACACGGAGCGACTAGCTGTTTCCTGAACTCAACATTCCCTTTGTCTGTGCATCTTCATGGCCCTGGTCCCCCACTGGAATGTCTTCTCTCCTCCTGATTCTCTTTAGACCCAACAGTGGGTACACAGGATTTAGAGACGAGAGGATTCTTGGAAGTCATCTAACTCAACTCCCTAATTCTACAGGTGAGGAAGTTGATGTGCATAAAGATGAGGTGACTTACTAAGTTCACCCAGCTATTAAGTACCAGAGCCAGGGCCCAGGCACAGGATCTTGGATCCGATTTTCAGTGTTTTTACACAAACCTTCAAGGTAGCCAAGAAAGAAAGAAAGAAAGAAAGAAAGAAAGAAAGAAAGAAAGAAAGGAAGGAAGGAAGGAAGGAAGGAAGAAGGAAGGAAAGAAGGAAGGAAGGAAGGAAGGAAGGAAGGAAGGAAGGAAGGAAGGAAGGAAGGAAGGAAGGAAGGAAGAAACAGGGACAGCTAGATGGCGCAGTGGATAGAGCTCTGGCCTTGAGATCAGGAGGACATGAATTCAAATCCAGTCTCAGACACATGGCTCTATGTCTGTGTGACCCTAGGCAAGTCACTTAACCTCGATTGCTTCACCAAAAAGCAAAAAAAAAAAAAAGGTAGCCCCACAAAGAGTCTTGTCCCTCCATATTACGTGAAAGATGTTAGGCTGCAGTTACTACACCCCTAGTACAAGAACTATTGAATTAAAACACAAAAACATGAAGGACTAAATTGGATCACTTAATAATCTGCCTTTGGGACATGAAATAGCACTCAACACATTCTGTGTGGGATAGTGTAGGTAACTGCAGGTTGGCTGCATTGTGTACCAAAACCAGACTAAACTGTAATTAGGAAGTACTTAATAAAATAAATAAAAACACAATAGAATATGCATAATGTTAATATATGCTCTTCTAAGTCAATATGTGGCCTTCAGGGAGCCTTATGTGCTATTCAATGGTTTGACATCACTGCTAGAGCCAGCCAGCAATGTGGTACTGGTTCTTATCATCTGGGCCTATCTGCTCTGTCCAGCTTCAGAGCCCACAGCAGTAATAGCTGAGTCTAGGGGTTTTGTTTGGTTGACTTTGGGGGGGGGTGAATATGGTGTATAGTCCACAACCCCTGAGGGAGGTTGGGGGGCTTAGGAATGGATTCAGTCTCTTGGCCAGAAAGCCTGCTTGCTGCTACTGCAACACTGGCAGTAATATAGAATCAATAAATTAGACAGGTCCACAAAACACAGAACCTGCAGCATGATTACTGCTCTGGCTTTCAATATCCTTCCTGGGCTGGACAAATAAGAGCTAATGGGGGGATGCTGTTCCCCAGATGAGGCAAGGCTCAGCAGGTACTGATGTTGGCAATAGAGAGCTAGGCCCCCTGAAGAGCCCTCAGAATTCTGATATAGGCCTAGGTTAGGCTTAACCTCCTCCTCCATGAAACTTTCCCTAACTAGTCCAGTCCCTGGTCATCATCTCTACTTCATCCCATATACTACTTAGTCAGTCCCTTAGCTTGGGTTTCTGTGGCTTTACCCTGATCATGTTCTTTGCTTCCTGAGCCACAGTTACAGTTTTTTCCACTTTTTAATCCTTTCGTACAGTCCTGTCTCCTAACAGTCCACAATATTTATTGCCTTCCAGGTCTCAGTTTAATGGTGGTAGCTGCTGCTTGCAGGCCTGAAAGTCTGGGAGGAAGAGAAGGCTAAGAAGGCAGAGGCAGGGGGAGATTTACCCAGGGTTTTCTAAAAACTCATCTTCCTTTAAGAGACTGGCCTTGACAGGA